TATATATATATATTAAAAAGTCTATTTTCACGCCAGATTGTAAATGAAGAAGAAACTGCTGCTTCTGGTACAACAAATACATTAGAGTTGACCTCGGTGGAAAATCCACAAATACAGAACCACTAATATTTAGGGGGTTGACTGTAGAATTTCAATTTTAGAATCTTGTATGAAAATCAGGCATATTTTGACATAACTGTGACCACTAGTTGATGGCAAGATGAATCAGATTTGATCCTTGGTTTGCTTTAAATATCAACAGGGTTAGTGGTAAACTGCATGAACCACATACAGCAGGCGGTTTGAGGCAAATTCACTACAACAGTCTGCAAGGGGAAAACAGAAGTTCAATGTTTTTAACCTACTTATATTGAGAAATAAAGACTTTTTCACTCTAAACATTTTCTATACAAACAACTTTTACCTATATGAGACACTGCCTACCAAAAGATGCCTCAAAATAAATTAGTGATAAGTTACTTCTGGTAATGCATGAGTTGTGGATATTTAAATTCTGGATGATAACATGCATTTCTCCAATTTCTGTTTGTGGTAATTATCCATTCAACAGATTTAATGCCTCGTCCACTTCAGACTGTGTCCTTGTCAGTTAATGAACAATGTTTGCATTTTTGTCTCACGTGCCTGACTGACTCAGTATGCGCAGCTCTAACTTTTTCTGAGTCACCCAGCTTCCTGTTTGTTCAGGTGGCCAAAGGGAAAAAGAGTGTCACTCGCTTACTGAGCGGACAGGAAATGGATGTGGCTAACATGATCCAGTTTTTAGAGAGGAGAGTTCAAAGTCCAGGTTAAAGCAACGGTGGAAATTTGGTAAACTTTTAAAGATTGATGAACAACAGAAAGGCATAAATTTCTGACTTATGACAAGAGTAACAACAACAACAGTAGCAGTAATAAGATATTGTACAAGATTGTAGGAAGATACTGTGTGGTTATTGGAGTAGAAATATCAGACACAAACCGAGGGATATGCAACTGAGTAGGATGAGTTTTAAAAATGCACATAATGTGCTTATTTAAATTCAAATAAAAAAAACTTTATTGATCCCAAAGGGAAATTAAATCTGGTCGTAACTTAAATTAACTGAAATTCTTATTGTAGAGAGTAATGGTTGTTGGCAGCATTTACATTAAAAAGAGCTTTTACTTACATTGTAGGACAACAGACTGTCTTTGATCATTTATAGTTTAAAAACTGACATGTAGATTAACCATACATTAACTGGATTATAAAATACACAAATTCTGCAGAGATGGTGAAGTTCAATAAAAAATTATTTTCATAAAAAACACGATGTGTTTATTCGGTTTTTTTTGCCATGAAAATTAGATACTATGAAGCATTAAAAACAACAATGTAAAGTTTTTGACAACTTTAATGTGTGTTATATTTGTGCCGCGCTTTTTTCATGCAAGAACAACCACTGTGCTACATCGTTTTACGAAACTGAAAAAAAAGCAAATAAAGTCACGATAAGCGGAGACTGAATGCATTCAGAGAGTCGCTGCATGAGAGCGTCTCCATTGCAGACCACTGCAGCGGCACGCAGCACGTCACCTTATTTGACCTTTTTTTTTTTTTTCATTTGCAGCTGAATCCCTGCCTGGATGCTGAGGGGGAAGTGCATGCAAGAAAAACCTATCCTGACAGGAATAGTACAAAGCACAGACCTTTACAGACATGACAGAGCTTAAAAAATATATTTTAAGCAACAGATCATAAATCAATTTCTAAAAAAACATTAGACTTTGAACATAATAAATGACTAGACATTTATTATGTTCAAAGTCTAAAGTTTTTCTTTTATGTTGAAAAACCCAAGTATTAATCCTAACATTTAAATATAGTGATCACTCCAATTAAAGCACATTTCATCCAAATGCAGAGTTAAGCTTGCAGCCGAATGTTTTATGTGTAATTATGCCCAACCTGAGTCACGCAGCACAGCCTGTAGAAGCGGGATGCGTGGACGTGCGGCTCTGCACGTCTGCCCCAGGTCTGACAATGAAACAGAAACGCAATCAATGGGGTTTCCTCTGAAGTCGGGCAATTTCTACACTAATAATAAAGTTTTAATTGGTAATATATATATATATATATAGTAACTCAACTTATGTTCATTACAATGTAAGAATGAAAATTAAATTGAAAACTGCGAACTTTTTTTCAGTCAGAAAAACTAATTTCAAACTAGTTTGCAATTACCACGACACAAAAACGCAATTGTGTTGTTTTGGGGGGACGGGGGGGGGACTCAAAAAGAAAGCAAAATGAATCCATCCATTATCTAACACACTTATCCGAATATAAAATAACATGTTATACAGCTTAATTATGTAATAAGTAATGTGTTTGTTCTCATAAAACGCAACAAAATGACGTAAATAATCACTTTAGAATGAATGATCCTAAAGTATTATTTTTAAATAGTGCAGTTGAAGAAAATAAGTTCACCACCGGGTGGCGCTGTGATGGCCTATATGCGTTTGTTTGTATGTGTGTGTGTCACAGGCCAGAGCCCCCTCGTGTGTGTGTTTGTGCGTGAACGTTTTACGGCTGCTTTCGTCACAGGAGTCACGTTGCTTCGCCGGCCGGCTAGGCGTGGTTAAATAGAGGATGTGAGCCTCAGACCGGCAGATTAGCTCAGCGCAGCCAGCATTGAGGACACAGTGAACGGAGCTCCGGCTCAGAATACTATCCGGTTCTCTTTAAGCGTTCTTATTTCAAAGCTCGGGATTTAAGCGACTCGCTTCCGTCGTAGCTGTGTGCTTTTTATCCAGCCCTAGAGGAATGCCAAGAGAGCTCACCCAGAACAGGATCCAAAAGATCTGGGTTCCCACCAAGGATGACAAGCGAAGAGGTAAGACTCGTTTATGTTTCTCGCGTAATCTTATCCTCGTGCAAATATGTGTTGGGTTTTTTTTCCCTCTGTCATTTCTCTACATAATTTCAACTCCATACCAAACCTTGCCTTTTTTTTCACCATAATGGCGGACTTCACGTCGGTTCCGTTTTACCGCATTAGTAGCATCTCCACGTTACATCCTATTCTCCTACCGTAATAAAACCTTCAGCGCACCTGCTACGCAGACACCGGCATTTTTAAATTTCTAACCAAATGATTGGTGGTCTTTGTCGGCACATGTTCTACGTCATCATGCCCCTATTGAACTGGGAAGTAGCGAGACTCCTGTAACCATGGCTACGGTGAACCCCCCTCTTTCCGCCCCCGATTCCTGGACGTGATGCGTGACGACGTGACTTTGCCGTATGTCGAACACCGCTGTTTCTGAATTACAAGGGTTGCATTTGGTAAATTATGTAGTTTTATGGGAAAAATACATTGTAGACAAAATAAAAAAAAATGATGGAATTGTCTTTGCAGCTGTGACATACTAGGAAGCCCTTTGTAGACAAATTAATTAACAAAAAGCAGGCTGTTGGCTTAGAATTAGAACAATTAATTTTTTTACTTTGTTCAAATGCTTTTGTTTGAAATACTTTAAAGGCTAGTTTTTGTGCAGTTTAAAGTCTATTTCATTGCCCTTATAAATAAGAGCTATTCGTGCTGCATATCAATCCCACTTCATAAAACCCCAAAAATAGGTTTTCCCACTACTTAATTAGTATTGTACAGGGTTCTTGCGCACTTAGAAAAAAAATTGTATTTAGATTTTTCTTAACTTGGATAAAGATCTTGTTTACTAAATTACTTTCTTTTAAAATAAAATACAAAAACTATTTCCAAGAAGTTTGACTGTTAATAGATTTTTGGGAACTTACTTGAATTGCATGAGCAAACATGGCTTTTTATACAGTTTTATTGTTTCATCTTTTATTATTATTTTGTTAAGTTAAAAAACAAACTTATTGGGATACAAATGACTTCGGGATCCTTTTAAATAAAACATGATTAAGAATAAAGGTTTTAGGTTGCAGTAAAAATTACAAAAATACGTTGAGTCTTTTCTAACAAAAACAAGTATTACAGATGACAAATTATCGTGTGAATTGGTCCTTTTTTTTATTAATATGGTACTGCAGTTGATATTTGCAGTCGATATTTGAGGTTTTGAATTTTCAAAGCTGCTGACCTAAATTTGATTCAGCTGCCAAGAAAAAAACTAGTAAAATGTACCTTTAGAACACAGCCAAGTAAGAGGTCAAACGTCAAAAACGGCAAGGAAGATCTGGAAATGTAACTGTGGAAATGTATGGAATATCAAACTGGAATATTTGTAGTGCCTTTGATTTAAAAAAAATTTTATTTTATTTTTTAAATAAATAAAACTCCAGTGTAAACGTATCAAGTGGGTGTGATGAATCAGTTGTTCGAAAATGGAGTTAAGAGTTTGATCCGTTTTTCCGTTTAGGCATTGTAACTCTGATGTTGTGGAAACAAGATTAAGCGACGCAATGACGAAGTGTAAATTGGCTCTCTCAGGAGGTTACCAGGGAATTAATGACCTGTGTTGATGAACCAGTGGCTGTGACGACAAAGAACGCACCAAAAGATGGGATTTATTTTAATTTAAAAAGGTTTAAACTCATCAGCCCCTCTTCTGTGTGGACAGCCAAGTGAAAACAAGCCATTGTGACTTCTGTAGGACAGTGCATACCCCGAAGTAGGTCAAATGCACAGTGAGGTGGAAGTAAGGTAATTCTGGCAGCAAGCAGCCATGTGTTTGCTGAAGGGATGTAGAGAAATATGAAGATCATGTCTTCGTGGTGAATTCTAAATGGGTTCAGTTTCTGTTTTTTTAGTGTCAATCACTTCCAAGAAGTCTGAAGCAGAAAACAGTCTGCCGTGCTGAGTGCAGCTTTTAGATCAGTAAGCGATCATTTTTCATGACCCGTTCCTTCCCTGCAGGCACCGGAGCCCCACACTTCGCCAACCCCCCAACCGTCATCGTGATGGTGGGACTGCCCGCTCGAGGAAAGACGTACATTTCCAAGAAACTGACCCGCTACCTCAATTGGATCGGCATACCCACCAAAGGTTGGTAGTGCTTGAGCTCAGCAACTTCTCTGTTACACAACAAGATGCGGTGCCCCCTTAATTAACTGAGCAGACGGCACAGAATCATGTTTCTCTCTTGGGGACATAGCGTTCATATTTGTTTCTCTGCAGTCTTCAACGTCGGGGAGTACCGCAGGGAGGCCGTCAAAAATTACAGCTCCTATGACTTCTTCAAGCCTGACAACGAGTCTGCCGTGAAAATCAGGCAGTAAGTCTCCCCTCAACTGAGAGTCTCGGTTCTTGTGTTGTTTGGCTTGACTAACATTTGCATTTGCTCTTCAGGCAATGTGCCTTAGCAGCTTTGAGAGATGTCAAGTCCTACCTGAAGGATGAGGGGGGCCAAGTGGCGGTGAGTTTTCTTGGTTATTTATGTTGTACCTCCACGAACACCCAACAAACAGACCATAACTGGACCTTCTTGGTGTTTCCTTCAGGTGTTTGACGCCACGAACACGACAAGAGATAGACGGGATCTGATCCTAAAGTTTGGCAGCGAGAACGACTTTAAGGTATGTTGCCTTGGTAACAGATGCTGCTGTGTTTCAGGTCTAGAGCGATTCACTGAATTGGCTCACTTTTTCATTCCTTCCAGATCTTCTTTATTGAGTCTGTCTGTGAGGATCAAAGTGTGATTGCGTCAAACATAATGGTGAGTTTCAGACTAGGACACTTGATGATGAAGGTCCACATCTTTGATCGCACACTGGATATAAAAAATTAATAAATGCTCACATCTCCTTTGGCATCAGGCGTGTGGTTTGCCGTCTGACAGTTTTCCTCCCCGTACAGGAAGTGAAGGTGTCCTGTCCGGACTACAAGGACTGTAACAAAACCGAAGCCATGATGGACTTCCAGAAACGGATCGAATGTTACAGAACCAGCTACCAGCCTCTGGATCCGGACCAGTACGACAGGTAGGCTGGGGTCCTCTCTGCCTTTTCTTCATGGCAACTGCATCCTTTTGGGCAGAGCACTCATCCTGTCATCCTGCAGGGATCACTCCTTCATCAAGGTGATCGACGTGGGCCGCCGTTTTCTCGTCAACCGCATCCAAGATCACATTCAGAGCAAAATTGTCTACTACCTGATGAACATCCATGTCCAGCCGCGCACCATCTACCTGTGTCGACACGGAGAGAGCAAAGACAACCTACAGGGCCGACTGGGAGGCGACTCGGGCCTGTCGCAGCGGGGCCGACAGGTACAACCAGTCACCGGCGAGGGAAAAACCCAGGCTAAATGATGACACGGGATGCTAATTGACTTGTTGTTTTTAGTTTTCAGCTGCTTTGGCTCGGTTCGTTGATGAGCAGCAGCTGAAGGACCTGAAGGTGTGGACCAGCCAGCTGTGCCGCAGCATCCAGACCGCCGAGCACCTAGGGGTCCCATACGAGCAATGGAAGGCGCTCAACGAGATCGACGCTGTGAGTGTCGACCAGAGGAATGCCATAGTAGCAACTTAAGCTCTCCTTCCCCAATCTGATTGGCATCTTTTGTTGTCTTTTAGGGTTTGTGTGAGGATATGACGTATGATGAAGTGAAGGAAAAATTCCCTGAAGAGTTTGCACTGAGAGATGAAGACAAGTACTACTACCGCTACCCAGCCGGAGAGGTACACCAGCCCCATCATGGCCAAACGCAGGTGGAGCAGGTTGTGGAGTTTAGATTGTGCTTCAACCTGTCAATTGTCCTGATTCCAGTCATACCAGGACCTGGTGCAGCGGGTGGAGCCGGTCATCATGGAGCTGGAGAGGCAGGAGAACGTGCTGGTGGTCTGCCATCAGGCTGTGATGCGATGTCTGCTTGCTTACTTCCTTGATAAGAGTGCAGGTAGGAACTAATGCACATGGTGTTCATTAGAGGACTTGAGGGGATTAGATTCTTCCGTTTGTATTTTTATTTAGCATAAATCCACATTGGTTGACTCCCAGAGGCTAAAGCTAATGGCTAACTGGAGAGGAACTGTGACTGAAACAGACTTCTACTAGCTGAACTGATTCAAACATCAAATTGGTTTTGGTCAATAAAACTACATGATCCAAACCAATCATCATTTTCACTGAGCAGAAGTCCAATGATTAAACACAGGTGCTGCCTCAAACCTCCACTTCCTGTGTAAATGATCCTTGAGTTCCTTGAACAGCCACCTGATGCTAGCATGGCTCTGGGTTTAAAGTTTCAGGAAATGGTGTTTTGCAGAAACTAATTGTTCTGCTTTGTCGTAGTTGTCTTCAGTGGTCCAGTTTTGATTTTACGTTTAAACGAAAACTACCCTGTAGAATCTTTAAAAATCTCAAACTATGCCTTTTTGAATTTTCTAAAGTGTAAACTTTTCCATGTGGCTCCAGATGAGATGCCGTACCTGAAGTGTCCCCTCCACACGGTCCTGAAGTTGACCCCGGTGGCCTACGGCTGTAAGGTGGAGTCCATCTCCCTGAATGTGGAGGCGGTGAACACGCACAGAGACAGACCTGAGGTCAGCCGCCATCCCACCTGCCCGCCTGATGAAGGCCTCTGCTGCTGAGACGTTCTTTAGGCTGACGGCTCGTCTTTGTCGCCCCACAGGAAGTGAAGCGTGGTCCCGGCACCCTGATCAGGAGGAACAGCGTGACCCCCCTGACCAGCCCGGAGTCCCACATCAAGAAGCCTCGCATCGACGACCTGGACGAGGCCCCCATCCAGGAGCTGCCCGGCTCCGTAGAGTCGCTGGCCCTCTGCACCTCCACTCACATTCCCCTGGCTCTGGCCGGACAGGTACTACAGTCCACCTGCCCTCATGGTCCAGAACCATGTAGGGCTTCTTCCTGCGTCTGCTTCCTCACTCAGCCTTTTGCATGTCTGCTCACTCATTTGTTTGTTCCCTCCTCTCCTCTTCTCCTCCTCTGTTCCTCACAGCACTGGCTGGGCAAAGTTTGCCTGTAAGTATTTAACAAGGATCTTTTTTTTCCTTGTCTGTTTGCTTTACATCCATTAATTTCCCATAATACTCAAACAACAAGGGAAGTAGATTTCCTAACGAGTAGTTATTTACATTTCCTCTTACTCCTGTACAACCCAGAGTTGAATCATGGGAAATGATGTAATCTACTGTTCTGGAAGTGAAAAGTGTACATATTTGTCCATGTGGAACTCGGACTTCCCAGCCTCGCATTCCTGTGATTCTTCAGCGTTGTCTCAGCCAGTTTCTTTTCTCTCCCCTCCCCATCCCCCACTCCCTGCCCCCGACCTCCCACTTTAACTGCTTCTTGCTGACTCTGTGTGTCTGGTTTATTTTTGGCCTGTGTTTTGCTCCTTAAAGACGCACCATCCTCCACTACCTAAAGGTGGTTTTCCATCTTAGCTTTCAAAGGTAAACACTTTGCAAAATCTGTGCAGCTGTTCCAGGCACTCCCATGTCAAAGTATTCACACCCCTATATTTTTTATTTTTTTTAAACAGAATCTTGTGTGTTTTTAAACAAAGAAATTTGGACAAAATAATTCTTAAAATTGTAGGACAAATTTATATTCTGCCCATTTTTCTTTTTTTTTCTTTTCAGCCTTTCATAAAGACTAGCTTAGTACACACTTTAGTTTCTGCACAGTCTGAAATTCAACAATTTTTGGTTGTAATATTTAAAAACTAGTTTTTATTTTTTGCTGTTTTTACATCCCATTAGGTTATTTCTTAAAATAGGCCAATTGCAAAATTAAACTCTGAGTGAATGTGGTTGGTTGCAATAACAATACATTTTATTTGTAAGTGGCTTTCTTGACACTAAAGGTCACCTTACATTATTTAACATAAAGTTTTATTTGGGGGTAACGGTAAAGTTAAACACTTTAGAGTTTGTTTGTTTTTTGCAATACTTCCAATTCTCCGTTTATATAAAATTAATTTTAATTACCTAGCATAATGTGAAACCTGATGGGGTGTGAATACTCATGGTACTGTAGCTGCTGCCATGTTATTCTGCTACCTAGCTAAGTCCGCAGCCATCTGCTTTAGCAGCAATATTTAGTCTTAAACATATAATCCAGATTCTACTAAAAGGTTTCCATTAAGTTACCTCAACCTGCAGCATCACTGAACTTTGTTGACATGAGTGCAGCTGACCAGTTTGAGCTAGTTTGGATGTCGCATTAGGAAAGTATGAACCATGCTGCAGGGTGTGTGTGTTTTTTTTTTTTTTTTAACTTCTCTGAAGATATTGGTTACAATAGAGAACCTGTTCACACACCTGATGGCTAACCTCTCATTTCCTTTAAAAATAGATGTTTGGATGACGTAACTACATGAACTTTCCCAGGCCCATCCTGAGGCCATACTGCTTGCTGGAACAGCTCTAGTCAGCTTCTCGGTGCATACCTGCAGGCTGATGCTATCCGAGAAGAATCTAAGCGTTTCTTTGTTGTGTGTGTTTGCTTGCAGAACCTGAGAAGCTCCTCTGTCTGCCATGACATCCTGCTGCCCTGCTAGTGGACGGCGTGGGCGAGTCACAGCAACACAATCTGCTACATCTTTATCACTTCAAATGGGATTTCTTTTATTTTTTTTCACGAGAATTTTGGAAAAATGGAGTTTCCTGTTGGCTCACCTGTTCGGATATCGGTTCATTTCAGACCAAAGACTAAAATCACTAACGGGAGGTTTTAATATTATCCCCCACCCTTTTCCTTACCACATCGTAACGATGAATCCTCTGTATGCTGACATGTTTCAAACAAAGCAACGTTTTGCACAGCGGTGACTTTTTTTATTTTTCTTCTTCTTCTTGGGTTTGGTTTTGCCGTAGAGTGCCTGTAGCGCTTGCTTTCTGCAAGCCCCAAGCAGCTTCTCTTGTTTCTCCAGACTCAACTCCTCAATGAGAGGGAGAACATTTCACCTAATAACTCTACATATCATTTCAATGCGCTACTTTGTCTAGTATTGAGTTTTTTTTTTGTAGTTTCATTACCACATTGCATATTGTTTATGGAACATTATTTAAATTTGTTTTGCTGTCATTGACTGCTATGCACAAAATGAAGCACCTATTTTTGTTACACTGCGTGCTGTTAATAATATCTCTGTAAATGTTAGTGTACATATGGAGAAACTGGATTGGGATGTGACTGGAGTCGTGGTGGGGATGGATCATTTTTTTGTACTAATATGTTTGACTGAGAGCAAAGAAGCTGATCATTTTCTCAGTTAATATTTTGTTAACATGTCTGCTTCAGAAACTTGAATTTTCTTTTTGTAATATTCTGTATATTTATGTAGTTTTTGAACAGCTAAAGCGAGAGGCGTCTTGTGCACATGTTGTACAGATTTTTTTTTTTTTTTTGCATTGGAACAATAAATTCACTTGACGAAAATGTGTATTTTCCTTATTCCTCTGTATAACTGAAATTCCTTTCCTCGCCATATAAGGACTCGCTCTGCAATAGTCGGACTTCATGGCAGTTTTCCAATTGTTATCTCATTTGGATGAATCATGCAGTGAGTCACAAGCTGCATATCTGTCAGTTTGCAGACAGGAAGATGGTCTCAGAAACTGTTTGGGGACTTTTATGGGAAAACGTTATGCAGATTTAAATGTATTGAATTAACATGTAATTGTACTTGAGTAGCATCATTTCATAATTTTACTCAAAAGTAACCATCCAAGAAATTAAGAGTAAATATGACTCAAATACAGAGGAACTGATCTTAACACTGTTTTTTTATTAGGCATTCAAACGGACAAAAACAGTTATGTGCAAATTGTATTTAAAACTATTTCGGGGGGTTACAAAATAACATTCAGGCAGAAGACAAGTCGACACCTTAGAAATCTGCTTCTACACATGCAGAAAGAGAAAACTAAACTGAGAAATAGCAACAAACTACATGAATCAGAACTGTAACATCACTGAAAAGTACATGATACAAGTTAATACAAGATGTATTCAGTGGCAACTGCAGCCCATTGTAGAGTTTGCCTGAAAGACGCCAGAATCTAAACAACCATTTGCCATTTTTCCTTGATACAATTAGCCACTGCTTTGGGTTGCTCCAGGAGTCTCCAACTCTAGTCCTCGATCTCTACTGTCTTGCAAGTTTTAGATGCAACCCTGCTCCAAAACAGCTGAATCAAATGAATGTCTCAATATCAGAGCTTCGCCAAGCTTATTGGCATCCTGCAGAGGTAACTCAATCATGTGATTCAGCTGTTGGAGCAGGGCGGTAGATCTGGAGGGTTAGGGTTGCAGACCCCCTGGTCTATTACATAAGCTTTATTAAAAATACATTGACACTAAGGGTTTTAACCCCTATCTGGGGACTCGAGCGATATGGATGGGTCGCTTGAATACTTTTACAAGGGACTCTGATTGTGCAAGCATATGTGCATACTATGTATGACACCAGATTATTTCGTGTCATTTACAGGCTAGGTAAGTAGAAGACAAGCCTCTGAGTCATATGCTTGTCTCTCTGTGCAGAGACTAGCATAGAGAGCGAGACATGACACCCTGTCTGCTCCAGACGAATCAGTCTGGGAAAGAAATTAAGAAAATAACCTTTTTTTCTTCTGCAAGTCTCTAGGTATTAGATGGAAGGTATTTCACAGAGCAAATGATCCAGTTGGTGTGCAGCTTTTAGTAACCTGACTGATAGGGATCAATCACAGTCCTTCGTCACAGCAGAATTAAATGACTATTTGTGTCTTAGCCAAGCCTGTTAACACTGAGGCCATGTACCATTGAGAAGCCTGACACAACAGTTCCTCCCCCCCCCACACACACATTCTCAAATGCAAGCCACATGCAAGTCTAGAACAGGCTGTAGTTGCTCAGGCAACATGTTGTTAGCACGCAGAACCTTATGAAGTTCACCTCAGAGTATAGGAGCAAAAAGCAAAGTCACGAAGGAAATTGGATGCAAAATGACAGATGCTCACTTGCATACAGGGAAAGTGGCCGACAATATGCAAAGTCTGCATGCAAAGTTTGTTTGGAAGTTCAGTCAGGTGTTTGACCATAATGTGTGTGTCCACTTGTTTACATAACAGCTTGCCTTTATAGGACCTTTTCAGGAGTAATCATCTACCTTCTCAGCAATGATTGGTACTGAGAAATAATGGTATCAGTGTAGCAGAGCGTTGTTATTAGGGTTCCAGGTTAGGGTAATGGCTGAGGTGCTTATTGACTTTGGGACACACACCAGAACTTTTATAACTTATGTTGACTAACAGACTGGTTTCCACAGAATTTTGTTTGGTGACTAAAAGAGAGAAGTTTTCCACACTTAACAACCTTACCTGCTGCAGTATCACAGACCACATAATGAAAACCAGATGAACGCATCAAACCTACATGGAAACTTCAATCTTTCACGATGCCCTCTCCCAGTAGGTAATAGATTTTCTCAAAATTCAGATGATGTTTCTTTCACCTCCCTTCTAAGATTAAAAAAATTTTTTTTATTTAAAATACCTAATTGTTAATATCCTACAAGTGAATTTGGATAGTTTTGACAGTGTTTTGTAAGATCAGTTGGAAGTTTGTAACATTCTATTATTTTTTAACGATTGTCAGTGAGTGTTGGAATGACTTTAATGGGCCTTATTGGTATAAATATAGTGTTTAAACACTACACTAGTGATAAATGTATTTTTATATTCATGTTCAAACTGATACTTTATGTTCTACTTATTTTAAAAATAATTTTTTTTCTTAATCAGTTAAGACTCAGAGTTTCCTCTTGTTTCTGTGTTGGCTTTGGCTCTTTTTTCATGGCTTTCTGCATAAATCAACATTGTAATGCAATTATTTAGTTCATACTTGGTATCATGCCTATCTTTTATTTATTGCATTTTGTATCTATAATTTTGCAACAAATTTATCCTACCCTCTTTTTTCATTGGCTGTGGGCAACATCCATGCTTCTGTTCCCTTCACATACTTGCAGACTTTAGAGCCAACTTGCTCTACTGACTGTCTCCAAAAAGTGCAAACACTACTTCAGTAGACTTAGTGAATAAAATTGGATAAAGAAATCGATCAGCCTTTATCTCAACCAGATTTAAGTTGAGATAAAGGCTGGGTTTGTATGTTGATAGTTAGGGTTAGACATAAGTCTGGTTACCCCCCAAAATGGGGGATGGCAGGACAGTTTCCCTACAAGTATAGAAAGACAAATATGTGTGCGTGTGTGTGTGCGCGTGTCTGCGTGTGTGTGTTAAATTGTGGAGTTTCAAGTAGGAGGAGCGCTGAAGTGGTGAACCTGACAGCAGTCACATAGACTCTCTGGCCACAGTGTGACCAGACGGAGCAAAAGCACTCGGTCTGGTCATGATTAAGACTGAAGGAAAAACCACATTCAAGGGGAAGACATGAAGTGTGTTGTGCTCTGGTAAACTTATGATGTGAGAACCAGTATGAGTCCATAGATCACTGCTTCGAGGACATTTTAGAGAAGTGGGGACCTTTGGTCAATCTGCACTGTTTCACATTTCACATTCACAAGGACCGTGAAGCGTTTCAACTAGGATTAGAATAATTTCAGAATTGAAAATATTTAGCAGCATCAAACCCCCATTTACAGACTTCTTAAAGTGGAACATTTTAGTTGTGTCAGTTTGCTCTGTGGGCATTTAAACCAAATGTTTCCACCTTTTGGAAACCTAATGGGTAACCAGGAAGCAATAAAACTATTAGGTTGTTGACAGAGGGAAAGTGGTGGAAACAGCTCAAAGACAGGCCTTAAGCCTGATGCTTGAACTGAACAACCAGCAGAGTTTCAAAGTTTAATTATTGTTATTTACGGTGCTGTTAAAAATATTTTCCACCTTACAGATTTTGGTTTTCCATTTTTGTAAGAATAGAAAAAAATAATCACTCAAATATATGAGACAAAGACAACATAAATGAATGCAAAAAGCAGTTTTTTAAAGATGATAATTGCACTTATGTGGTACCAAAAAAGTTATGAAAACCTACTTGGCCTAAAGGGGGAAAAATAATTGTCCCCTAATTATTTATCTAATTATTTTTGATCAGATCTCCAGACCTTGACTAGTCTACAGCTACAACCGTAACTGTAGGTTTTCAGGCATTAGTCCCAGAGTACTACTCTTAAGGATGGTGCGCCATTTGTAAAGTTACACAGTAAAAAAAATATTTAACCTGTTATAGGAGATAAAAAAGTAGGGTTTTATTTTTCAAAGTTGTACTTTTACCTTGTTATTCATCCATTTATATAATGTCACAGCTTCAAATTAATTATTCCCCATAGCATAATGCTGCCACTAGCATGCATCAACAATGATAACTTAACTTTGCGTTATTCTACATGACAGTTTGTTTTGGTCCATCACACAAAATATCAAAGTGTTAAAAAAAAATTAAGTAGTATGAATACTTTTTTTTAATATATTTGTTTCTTTTACTCCTTTTTAATGCTCACATTTTTACAGAATAAAGATCATTTTTTTGTTTTCTTTCTCTTTTGTCCTTTAAAGAATGTGCTACCTGAATTACTGCTGCAGCGAGGTGAAAACCCATCCCTCTCTCTTTGTGCAGCAGCCCATTCAGGAAGAGATTTTGTGCAGAATGGAGGGGATAAGTCTTTCAGTGAGCCTTGAATGGAGCAGAGCCCATTAAATAGACTACATGTGATCCCTGTATATACACACGGCAAAATGAAA